CACTGGTTCCAATTTGGAATGTACTGTTAAAAAGATTAAAATACAATAAAGAACATCAGACCACAGCAGACAACACCTGTCATTTTGACCTGCTGTCAGTTTCCATACAGTTACATAAAATGTCTTTCCTTTCAAGTATCAGAGTATCAAGTATCAAGAACAATGCACCTTGACATTCATCACTTAAAACCCCTTATTGCCTGTCTTCAAGCATTACATAAAGATGTCCTTGAGAGGTATAAAATGGGACTTCAGCAATAAGGCTGCCAGCATATCACACATTTGAAATATTTGTCACAAATAGTTAATCAGACCAAAGCACAATATAATATATATCGACAATGTTATTGTTAACCTTGATGGAAAAAACTAAACTTTTTATAAAGCATCAGGCCATGCAAGATTGGTGCTTTGTATAGCTAATCACAGTAAGTGTTGACTCTCTTATTAAGGGTCAAAACGTCTTTTGAGCTGCTCAGTGAGAAAAAGTTGTGGACTAGTATAGTCAATAGGTTTAATCTCAGCTTCACTATTAGTTTGTTCCTTAAGGCTCAGTTTGAGAACAATGAAATAACTTGTTGCAATTGTCTCAGTCCAACACGAGATACCCAACTTACTGAACACAAGGAGCTGTTAAAAAGATATCAGAACTGGAGTTGCATAACCCTTTCAAAGTCTTTGCTATTGGTGGAAACACATGGCCAATGACTGTTAGGCCAGCAGTGTACTTAGAAGAGGGACTAACAATTCACCCACAAATTCCAGCCCAAACTTCTTGTTAAGTGAATATTATGTTTTGCTGGTAGAGAATCAACCAACAGGGACTCCTGCAACTCAAAACATCTTGTTCTGTATAAAATACATGCGGGAGTTTACATCTCTTTGCTAGTAAATCCCTTAGGTCTCAACTACTTGAACAGTGCACATATTGGTTTGTGTTCAAGTGCTAAACTGGAGTGTTGTCCTTTGAAAACACCAGACGGAATAGCCTCCCTATGCATCATTTACTAACTAAATATTGCACCTGTCCCCTCCATATTTTGTAATGCTTTTTATAATGTCAGTCGTCAGTACATGTCCTACATTATGGACATTAAAATTCAAAACTAACTACCTTATGATAAAAATTTAACTGCAAATAGGAATATTGAGACACACCTGTGTCCCAGTGGTGATGGTGAAGTGGTGTCTAGCTGACAAAATATGTACAGTATACTGTAGCAACACATACTGTAAGCTATCAGCTCAAATGTGGCAAACCTGTACATGGTTTTGGTGAGGCAGCATTCCAAAACTGGTATACAAATCTCTTAAATGCCATAATTTACACTATAAATCACTTAACTCTTGGGACTCTGAGTAAGTATTCTCCTGTTTTCTACATGCCTTACCTGTACCCAAGCCTGCACTGCCATCTGCTGCTCTGTGGCACAAAACACACACCAGAGAACCCACAAAAAGCATGGGTTGATAGGTTACATGTTGCATTCACGTGCTCACCGTAAATACCTAACTTGTAAATCCAAATTGTGTTTTCAAAGCATTTGCTTGAAAATAATAAATTCCATAAAGATACTTTTGATGGCTTTTGTCTGTTTTAGAACTCAAACAGTGCAAAGTTAGTTTGTCCCACAGCAAAAGAATGTACAGTTAGACTCGCATGTAATCTTAAGTTTTTTAAATAAAAAAATAAACCTACTTCATTTTAGAAGGTGCTGCTAGAGGATGCACGCTGACAGGGGCAAAAACACATTTGTTCAGTACACTGTTATGACTTACCTCCAGCAACCTGAGTTTTAGCACTTACAACTATACATAGTATAAAACAACAATGAAACTGTTTTTGTTTTTAAAATAAAACCTCCTTTCACCATCTCTTTATGGCACTTAACATCGGGACACTGATAGAATTTCACTGAGAAATGTCAGCTAGTGACAATAATAACATAACCAAGAGAACTGACCAGAATAATAATGGACTAAATGAGACAGCAACACCAGCACATGTGAAACATAACTTAATTTTCCATCCATCCATCCATTTTCTTCCGCTTCGTCACTCGTTCGGGCTAAGCCCGGCCGGGCCCCGTGGGGGGAGGCCCGGCCACCAGGCGCTCGCATTCGAGCCCCAACCCCGGGCCCGGCTCCAGGGTGGGGCCCCAGCTGCGCCATGCCGGGTGACGTCACGGTCCTTGATCTTAATCTATTCATAAAGGGCTTTTGAATCGCTCTTAGTCTGACCCGTCACCCAGGACCTGTTTGCCTTGGGAGACCCTACCAGGGACATATAGCCCCCGACAACATAGCTCCTAGGATCACTCGGGTACTCAACCCCCTCCACCACAATAAGGTGGCGGTTCAAGGAGGGGTAACTTAATTTTTTCTCTGACAAATCTTTATGTGGTCCACTTTCAATCAAAGCCATAAATGTGCCACTTTTTTCAAACTGGAATTACAAATGGGAACGGTCATGAAGCCACAATGGAATCCTACAATGGGTCATGTCAGTCAGCAAAGAGCACTGATGAGCCTGACAAACATTTGTCATTAAATCATCCATAACACAGTCACTCAGGGAGCTGTCTTACCTTAAGCCAGACACCTTTTACTCACCAGTCTCTGGCCATAAACGTCTGTGACATAAGTAAAATTCAGGGCTCTGACTCCAGCTTGCTTCTGTATTGATCCTAGAACATGGCAAAACAATTTTAAAAAGCAGTCAACTTATTTTGAAAGATACACTTTGTTCTCTTGTGGCAGTTGCTCAGGGGTAAAATGTCTTCTGATTTTCTTATGACTTTGTATGTGACCATGTAGACCAAATTTGGACACAAGACAGATCTAAACAGCTTGGTCTGTCATGTTATTAAAATAACTTTTGCAACGATTTAATCAAAAGTGAAGACTGTGGTTATCATTTGTGTTTGGAACAAAATATATGATGATGCAGAACCTCCAGAAAGATGTGTATGTAAAGATGTGTACCCAAGGACACCAAGGAAAAAGAACTTTATAGTTTCTACAGTGTTTGGCTTGATTAAAAGATTAAAGGTGGTGTGATGATACTGACTGTTGTGCTTAAGTAGAAAACAACCCCATCTACAGTGCCTTGCAAAAGTATTCATACCCCTTGAATTTTTCCACATTTTGTCACATTACAACCACAAACTTAAATGTATTTTTTGGGGGATTTTATGTGATAGACCAACACAAAGTATCACACAATTGTAAAGTGGAAGGAAAATGATACATGGTGTTCAAGATTTTTTACAAATAAAAATCTGAAAAGTGTAGCATGCATATGTATTCAGCCCAGTCAATACTTTGTCGAAGCACCTTTCGCTGCAATTACAGCTGCAAGTCTTTTGGGGTATGTCTCTACCAGCTTTGCACATCTAGAGACTGCAATTTTTGCCCATTCTTCTTTGCAAAGTAGCTCCAGTTCAGTCAGATTGGATGGAGAGTGTCTGTGAACAGAAATGTTCAAGTCTTGCCACAGATTCTCAATAGGATTTAGGTCTGGACTTTGACTGGGCCGTTCTAACACATGAATATGCTTTGATCTAAACCATTCCATTGTAGCTCTAGCTGTATGTTTAGGGTCATTGTCCTGCTGGAAGGTGAACCTCCGCCCCAGTCCCAAGTCTTTTCCAGCTTCATCCATCTTCCCATCAACTCTGACCAGCTTCCCTGTCCCTGCTGAAGAAAAGCATCCCCACAGCATGATGCTGCCACCACCATGTTTCACGGTGGGGATGGTGTGTTCAGGTTGATGTACAGTGTTAGGTTTCCACCACACATAGCATTTTGCATGTAGACCAAAAAGTTCAATTTTGGTCTCATCTGACCAGAGCACCTTCTTCCACATGTTTGCTGTGTCCCCTAGGTGGCTTGTGGCAAACTGCAAACGGGACTTCATATTGCTTTTTTTAAACAATGGCTGTCTTCTTGCCAATCTTCCATAAAAGCCAGATTTGTGGAGTACATGACTAATAGTTGTCCTGTGGACAGATTGTCCCACCTGAGCTGTGGATCTCTGCAGCTCCTCAAGAGTTACCACGGGCCTCTTGGTTGCTTCTGTGGTTAATGCTCTCCTTGTCCGGCCCGTCAGTTTAGGTGGACGGCCATGTCTTGGTAGGTCTGCAGTTGTTCCATACGCTTTCCATTTTCAGATGATGGATTGAACAGTGCTCCGCGAGACGTTCAAAGCTTGGGATATGTTTTTCCAACCTAATCCTGCTTCAGACTTCTCCACAACTTTATCCCTGATCTGTCTGATGTATTCCTTAGTCTTCATGATGCTGTTTGTTCACTAATGTTCTCTAACAAACCTCTGAGGCCTTCACAGAACAGCTGTATTTATACTGAGATTGAAGTACACAAGACAGACTCTACTTACTAATTAGGTGACTTCTGAAGGCTATTGGTTGCACTGAATTTTATTTAGGGATATCAGAGTAAAGGGGGCTGAATACATATGCACGCCACACTTTTCAGATTTTTATTTGTAAAAAATCTTGAACACCACGCATCATTTTCCTTCCACTTCACAATTATGTGATACTTTGTGTTGGTCTATCACATAAAACCCCTAAAAAATACATTTAAGTTTGTGGTTGTAATGTGACAAAATGTGGAAAAATTCAAGGGGTATGAATACTTTTGTAAGGCACTGTATCTGCAACGGTGGATGCTATTAATTGATGTAGTTTCTAAAATCCAGATACTTTCAGGGCATAATAATAATAACCATAATAATAATGAATATACTGGCCCTGTAGATCACCTCTCTGGAAATTTCTGGTAATATTTCAAGCAGCACTTGAATGCAGCTGGTCTAATCTGGTCTAATCTGGGCAGGAAAGTCACCAGATGAGAGATGACATCCATGGATACTAGCTTTACTGTTCAAAGGAAATAACTGCATGGCTTTCATTTTCTGAGAACAAATGTCTTTAACAACTTGCCAGAAGGTTACTATTATATCATGCTCTGTTCTCTGTGTTTCCCTCTTCCTGCCCAGAATGCTTTTACCCAGAGAGAAAAAGGAGATGGGGCAGTCTGAAGGTAAGGTGGCTTATCAGATCATCATCCATCCATCTCCATCTTGCTCCATCTCCAATATCTTTTTTGTTGTTGTTACCAGCTGTTACTTTAATTATACAGAGTGCAGTGAGCCTAGGGCCCCATCATAGTGTGCGTGTTTATCATAATATTACACAATAGACAGAAGAAGGAAAAAGGAAAGCATGCGTTTTACATATACTGTACCATACGCAAATTGAAGAATGTGTATAGTATATTGTTTTTTTAATACATGTACTGTACTGATATATGCACATTTGCATCTGCTTGGATATGCTTATACTTCATATCCACCACTGCAGTACTGACAGCTGCTGTGTTTATTGCAACCACTCTGCTTGAACATCAGGTCCAAGAGTCTCTGATCGTACACACTAGATGTCTTAAGCATAAATGGATGCTTCCAATTGTTTCCCTACTCCCATGAGAATGTTTTATTTCTTCTTTGGGATGTAACCTGATAGGCTAACAGTTTAACATGGTGACATGTCTGAAAATCACTCATCATATAGGAGCACCTCTTGTCACATATAAACCTAGAGATTTGTCAATTTGATGATATGAGCTATTGTGAAGCAGTTGTAAGTAGGCTGTTTTATTTTATGTGTTTATTTGACCACAGCCCAGTAAGAGCTGAAATTGACTCTTAGTTCAGTGTCAAGCCAGACTCAGTTAAATGAGCATGATGCTGATACAACTCAACTGCTTTCAGTTGACTTGTATCAGCAGTCCCTAATTTAATAAATGTCACACACTCACTCATATCTGAAAATGCATTTGTCCCTGAAATGTTACTCCCTTACAGGAGTATGTCCTATGTTGTACTGAAAATTTGTGCGTGACCGTAAAATTGAGCAATTTTCTGTCAGATGATAATCTCAAAATACAAAACATTGCACGTTCTTACCTTGTGACTCAGCACACGGTTACACTTTTCTTCAGCTACAGCTTGTTGGTACAAAGTTAAGGAAATTACTACCTTTCTGTGTTTGGCAACATTTTAATAGTTGTATACAGCGGCCAGTTGTTATCCAATGGTGCTGGTAACAGTGTGCTAACATACTTAGTGTTTGGCTGCCAACAGATGTCGCATTTTGACTATGAGGGTTTGTTTGAGGTGTAGCCTAATCCCCTGCTGCCCACTATACTGTGACAACGATGGCTATGCTTTGCTGACACTTAACTTCAAACTTAAAACAATCACATGAGTCTTTTGCTAGCTAATTTGACAAATACAGCGTATATCGCTAGCAAAAGCTGCTGCAGGCTGCAGCCTTCCCACTTTGCGGTTACGGTTGGCTGATTAGAAAGCCTCTATTGTAATTGGTGGGACAGGCTGTAGATCACGAACAACACCATGTGATTGGTGCAAAGAGTCGCAGAGGGCGGCAAAAAGGACGTACCAGGAAATGTTGTGGGGTTTGTTCTTATATTTGTTAGTTTTTAATGAATGATTGGGCTACATAAAATACACACTCTTGAGAACAAAATGGGGTCATCGGGAGTTCGCACCACAGACACAACGTTTAAAATCTAAATATATCAATTAAACTATAACAAATCATAACAGCAATCAAAAGTGTGATAATTATTCAGTTATCATTAATAAATTTAGAAATGTATTGCAATGATCTTTGAGTATAGCAAGTAGCTACTTTTACTTAGGTAGTTTGCTTAAATAAAAGTAGCAAAGTATTCACATAAAAATATATTTGAAGTACCAAAAGTAAAAGAAGTCATTATGCATGTAGACTATGGATTATTTATTGTGTATACTACTTTAATGCAGCTTTTATAGATGGGGCTAATTTTAACTAACCTATTTGCTGTTTTAATTATCACATGTTTTGAATCTAATAATTATCATTTAAATTACTTTACATGCTGCAGGGAATCGTGAATTTTCCACTCAGGATCAAGTTTTTCAATTTACTGTATTTTGTTAAAGCTAATTCTGAAAAGTAATGAGTAATTAAAGTTATCATATAAATATAATGGAGTAAATTACATCACAATATGTGCCTCAGAAATGTGAAGTCAAAGTATGAAGTAGCACAAAATGTAAATATTCAAGTAAATCTCAAAATTGTGCTTTGTTACATTTCTTGAGTAAATGTACTCAGATACTTTCCACCACTGGCCAAATATAATGTTGGTAAATATAACACTCAATATTTGCTTTATTTCATTTAGTTCTAAATATTTTTGCAGAATTGTTGTGGTTTTGAGTTATTTCAAAAAAGAATGCAGAAGCCTGCCTACAACTTAAACAAGCCTGACTTTACAAATGGGTGAGAAAGTGATCACTGCGAGATATTTGCAAGATTTTTTTTTTCTAATTATTAATAATGATTGAGTGACTGATTCATTATTACCTTCTGCAGTTGGACCTGGGTTCTACTCTACTGTGATGCATCAGCTGTCATTGCCAGAGGACCCAGAACAGTGGGATGTGAACCCTTCGTACTCCATGACTCACAGTGCTGAGGCCATGGCAAAAGTCAAAGTCGCTGGACGAGGCAAAAACTACAACCTGATGGCACAAGTGATACCAGTATACGGCTTTGGAGTCCTTCTTTACATCCTCTATATAATTTATAAGGTAATAACCCTTTCATGTATGTAACCCGAGGAGGACAAAAAATATAGACACCTTTAAATATAATGTAGTCCAGTAATGTAGTCCTTTAACTATGACCTCAATAATAAACATATAATTGACCTGATACATTTTTGACAATTTCACCAGAAACTGATACATTTTGAGCTTCATAAACACAGATGTTAAAGCAGAAGTGTTGCATTGAATTGTACAGGTGTGCCTAATAAAGTGGCCGGTGAGTGTAACGTGTTTTGCAGCTTTATACCATACTATTATACTGTATGCTGCACTACACTGTATGTCATATAAATACAGCTTAATGAGAAATGACACAATGATCTCTGTGATACCTCCGCTCTTAACAATTTAAAGTATAGTAGTTGTTTTTTAACTACCAGTGGTCATTGCTGTCTAATCAAAATCATTTTTATGTTCACAGCTGACATGTAAAGGGAAGACAACTAAATCAGGAAAGTACTCTATAGTACCCAAGGCAAAGATGGAGAATAAGATTAGTAAGTACCTTCAGTAGTTTATTTGTGACAGTGTAATTCCAACACTTTCAGCAGCCCTGGGCTTCCTACCAGTATAATTTGATCTGTTTCTTGGATGATATGCCAACATTTAGCTTTTTGTTAACAATTAATTACTCGTTAGTGGCATGAAGTGAAGTTCTTAGGTTGTTACTGTAAAAGGAGCTTTTGCCTTCAGTGCTAACCAACCACATACCCCTTAACAAATGGGTGTGTCACTCTACTACACTTATACATTTACACAACTATATACCATTTGTACATATACAGTTAACATAGCAGTGCTTTATATGCTGTTATTACAACAATGTTGTCTCTTATCAATCTTGTAGCAGCTGATTATGAGCTTGCCAGACTCCAGGAGACACAACTGCAAACAGAAGGGATGATGGAGAGGACTGTCTCTGGAAGGAGCCATGGCTCTGAGAGGTAAAAGACTGATTTTTCTCTCTCTCTTAACACACAATTTTTCACTGCCTATAGCACAGAAGAACCAGAGAAAGTATTTCACATTTGCATAAATCAGGGTAGACATGGCACGGAAATGAACAAGTTAAAAATGAAAGGGGAAATTATTCAAAGGCTCCTGTCATGTTTTACTTTACAGTCCTAAGGTTATATCATATATTGTTTAGGTAGTGAGTTGATGTATGAGGAAATAAACTACTTGTGTCACTTTTGGACAATTTAATTATTTTTAGTAAACAAATAAACAGAGTCAGAGTTCACAATAATGTCAAAGTATTGGGTTTTATTATTCAAAACATCTCTAATCTAGGCTTCATCCAACTCAGGAAGGGTAGCCACAGATGGCAATTTTATGTAATTACAATATAACTGAGAAAATTTACTAAACTGGCATAAAGTGGTGTAAAATAGCACTCCCACCTTCCTGACTCTGCGTCCACATCTTGCTGCTCTCTAGTGGCAGAAAGAGGAAAACTACAGCTTCAAAAAAGGAGGAAAAATTACTTAGGCAGCTTCGTCAATTCACACAGTTGATGCAAGAGCACCACTTGGAGGAAGCTTCCCCAGAGATGGAGGCTGAGGAGGTCCCCTACGGTGAAGACTGGGAAGGTACATGCCTCAGTGGGAATCCCCAAGTTCCTAACATAATTTTACAAAATGTAAATTTGTGGCCCTTATTGTAGTAGATTCTGTCTTCAGAGCAATCAAATACATTTTTTAATTATAAGCTGTTTCATGCAACCAAACTGACATAACCATACTGTATATCAAATGATGTCTCTTTTTTGTACATCAATGAAGGCTATCCAGAGGAGACCTACCCAGAATATGATGATGATTCCCATGAAAGATGTAAATTCATTAAGCTGGAAGACCCCCCTAATCAACCCACTGCAGAGGCCCTGGCAGAGAGGCTGGAGCAAGAGGAAGAAGATGTTGTAGCAAGGAAACTATCCATATTGCAAGAGCAGGATGAAGAAGAGGAGGAGGAGGAGGAGGAGGAGGAGGAGGAGGACAGAGAGGAAAAAGATAAGGGAGAAGGAGATGTAGAGGGGGAAAGGGAGGAAGGTGACGATGAAATGAAGGACAGTGAGGAAGTAGAGGACGACACAGAGGATGAGGAGGAAGAGGAAGCAGAGAAAAAGCAGTTGCTCAGCCCTCTTTCACCCCTGCCTCCTGCAGAAATAAAGCAGGAGAGAGTTGGTTTGGAGGTGAGCAAAACGCTGCAGCGTCTCAGTAGAGGGAAGAAGCAAATAACCTTCAGTGACCATAAAGATGTGTTCCACTACCCTAAAGAGGCTTCTTATGAAGAGGAGGAAGAGGACAAGGAATATGAGGTAGAGGAAAAAGACGAAGGGACAGAGGTGGAAGGTGAGGAGGAAGTTGATGAAGATGATCCATTGATGGAAGCAGAGAGCCTGCAGTTCAGTTGTGAAGGTTGTTCAAACCCAGAGGAAGAAGCAGAGGAGGATCAAGAAGAGTATTTGTTCATGTCAATGGCTGATAACAATTATATGCATGGAGAAATGCCTAAAGTCGGGGTGAGTGGGCTGAGGATGCGGAACAGGAGAGAGACATAAAAGACTTTCCCTTTATCTATAATGATTTTTTGGCATACATTGAAATCCTTTTCCTCAAACCATATTGTGTTTGTGACTGGTCCTATGTGTGTGTAAAATATAGAACACAAATACAGACATGCAATTTTAGGGCCATGAGGTTCTGCATGGAGTGCAGGCCAAAAGGTTGTGTGTGCGCAGATGGTCTACACAGCAAAAGCACCGACTGCAAAAAACTATGAACAGGAACATGTGCACACCCCTCATGCATGTGAACAGCCGTGAACAGCCACAGCTCCAGGGCTTCAGAGTCAAAGGCTAAGCCACGTGTTCCAGTATAAGTGGAAAAAATGCAAAACATTACACAAAATAAAATGTCAAAGACTCGCATGTTTTCTTGTTGTGATTAACAAAGTAAATATTAAAAAAGCATTTTTTCCAAAGTTGTGTTTGACAAAGGAGGTGAAATTCATACCATTGAGTTCAAAAATTACTCTTAGTCTTAGAGGAACAGTGACTTTGATGAGTGGGTAAAATATTAAGATGGAGTAGCAGATACCCCCATGGTCAGAGTTCTCTTACTGATAATATGAAAATGCAAAGCAGAAAACAGGCTCAGCAGAATAAAAGAATTGGAAAAAATGTCCAAGCCACACCACACTGTGCACTGTGCACACTGTGTAACCAGTCACAACTGGGTTGAACATCTGTTTCTGATTGTCCTCTCAAACAACATGCTGCATGTAGCATTAAACAATGCCACTATTTACTAAAGAGAACTGTAGCTTGTAAGACACTCCAAATTATTATCCAAAGACCTTTGACAACCATGCAGGTTTTTGCTAAAGTTGTTGTTAAAAATCAGACTTATACAATAAAGACAGCATTACTTCAACTTCAAATAAAGTATTGCTGCCTTTCATTTTCTACTTCTTTCATTTATCATTAAGGCTGTAAAACAATCTAACAAATAAATATATCTTGCTGATACATTTCAGCAATGCTAAATGTTACAGTAACTGGCCCAATTTCTGGTTAGATGCTAAACTGTATTTCGTTGCCTTGTACTTACTTGTACATGGGTAATGACAATAAAGTTGAATCTAATCTAATTTGGGGCTACAAGCATAGCTCAGACCAAGGTGACTGATCACAGTAGTCAGCAACTGGGCTTTATGAGTGACAAGAAACGGTATTGTTACCATTGCCTTGCTTTCAAAGCATAGTAAAAATTAAAAGACTGCATCAGATTCACAAACATACGATTCAGTGGTTCAGTAAATCTGGCTTTTATTTGAGAGAACAGAACACAAATATTTAAAGTTTTTTTTTTGCCATGACCAAAGGACTGTGTCTATACCACCACAGTAAATTGTACACTGTTTACTGTACATTACAACAAGAGCACTAAAACAGAAAGTGGACACATGTATGTATGAAAAGCAGACATTCCATCAACAGTTTTAAAATAGAAGTTTAAAATCGTTAAAACACAATTGAGTACAAGAATAGCACATTTGATAAAGATTTCCTCTTAACCCACAGTAACAATAGTAGTATCAGAGATTGTTCTTTGCCTTCATTTGCTAGTTTTTAGTGGTCATATAATACAAAATACTACTATATATTTGAAAAAGGATAGTGCCCTGTAAGGAGCTAGAGGAATAATATTTTGAGTAAAAATGTGAACAGCAATCAACCATGGAATATCAATACTAACTGCCAGTCATTGGAGGAATGCACCAAACTCAAATTTAGTACAGCAAAAAATTATTCAATGATGTAAAAAGCAAGAAATAAAATGTCTGATAGATGTGGTAGGTTTGCACGGTGTGTTGGTTGGCAGTAAGTCCAACTGTATTCAGTTATTTCCAGGTAGGAAACATCAGAAGATATGAGCACAACCTTAAGCCTGAGTGCCTTGGAAATTAGATCTGCTGCCTGATTTACAGTACAGTGTCAATCACCTCTTTAGTGTGTGGTGTGTTGAAGGCTCTAAATCTACTAATTAAAATGGACAGTCGCTAAAATTTTGTCCAGTGATGTGCACTTTGGATTATCTTCTGGAGTTTTTGCAACTCCAGTTATTTAATAAGTCTAAATGAACTTTGCATTAGACGACAGAAATCAAAATTGCCACAGAGAAATATTTTCAATGCATGTGAGGATAGCGTGAATAGCAAAGACCAATTCAAGCTCAGCTCATTGTACGGCCAAAGCGTAACACTGGAATTAGTCTTCAAAGGCACAATAACGTATGTACAGCTATAGCTCATCCACTACAGACTTCAAAGTAAAGTGCACCATCAGCGCATCATTCTATACATTCACATACTTGACACTGTGACATAATATTGTATATGGTACACAGCACAGTGTTAACATGCCTTTGTCCTGTGTCCAAGTCACTAATTGTTTTGTGTGGATACAAGACATTTTTTCTTCTTGTGATGCAAGTTTATGTGCTTGCAGCTCCTTGGAGCCAGTACAGTTGAAATTGCTGCAAATGATAAAACAAAATCAATATGTAATAAATACATAAATAACACAAATAAATATACTGTGACGTGCATGTTGGTTTAAATTCAGTAACTATACAAGTATAAGCAATGCTCATGCTCGAGGACGTGTGACATTGAGATTTTTTTATGTATGTGGTAGACTACATAAAATCCAGTCAAGTTTTAAAACTTACAGATGTTTAACTGTTAGTTATAATTTACAGATAAAGATGTCTGCGTTTATAATGCTATTACAGTACAAAATAAGCATAGTTATCAAAACAAATTAATTTGATTTTGATGTAAATTATTCTTTGTGCTTATTTTCTCCCACTGACCAAGCCCATTCTGAGACCCCCACCCCCACCCCAAACACATACTGTACACACAAAAGTTGATGCCCATAAAGCATTTTGGAATAGGCAGGACTTCCAAGATACAGGGTGATTTGTAGCTCTCAAACCAACCCCAGGGACACATTAACAGCCCTTGTTGAGAAGACAGATGGCCCAGTTCAGCACTGAACTTCAGGATCTATTCACAGGCTAATTTGCTGTCAAAGCTGGAGAGGGCAATGGCAAAGGCTTGCAGGGCACACATTGGGTAGTTATAGTCCATGGTGAAGACATCTTCTGCCACACGGCCAAACTGCATCACAATATAGTCGGCTACATAGGAGAAGAACCAGGAAAAAAGTTTAGACGCTGCTTTGAAACAATGTTTTCACTTCCCATTAATTTGTATTCTTAAGCAGGCATTCAGACTGAGTGTGGTAAAATGCAACCCTCTCTGTGCTTTTACACAAGGGGCTGCATTGGTCGGGGGGTGAGGGGTTGCGGGAGGAATATTGTAGGCATGTACAATACAGCCACATTGTCAAAGTTGGTGGCTTTATTCATGTTTCCAGTGTCAGAGTTTCCATAGTGTTTTGGTTAGCCATGCTGCTAACGTAGCCATGCTACCTTAGCAGCAGCTTCTACCACCAGTGTGTCGGCACCATTTAAAAACACAATTTAACATTCAGCACCCTAACTAACAAGAACACATGGAGTGTCGTTGGGGCGCGTTAACTATGGCCTAAATCTGAGACTGAATAGCAGTTAATACACATGGTAACAAGGTAAACAAAATTTGTCCTACTGTCTACCATACTGTATGTGATTGGTCAACATAGCGCCTTTGCCGGGTGATGTCACGGTCCAGTGTGGTCAAAGTTGAACCAGATTCAACTTTTTCAGCACACAGGGCTGCATTGTTTTGCTGGAGCCCATTGAGGTGCTGGTGCCAGCTGCAGTGAATGCAATCCCTCATAGAAATGAATGGAAAGGGCTGCGTTTTTTCCACACCTTTGAAACTCAGTCTGAACGTGGCCATAATTATAGAGACCTAAATTATTCAATATTAAATGAAAATTCAGTCATTATAAAACAGATAACAATAAGAATAAATACAGGCAAATATAAAGAGCCTAAAATCTGAGGAAGGCAGCGTTTAGGATGCAATAAAAGCTTGCATCTGAATTATGAATGTGCAACTTTTCACTTCTTCCTTAATTAAAATGCTTAACACAACTCTTTTCTACTATAATATGGCATATTCACCTAAACTGTTTTTGGCCATCTTGCTATAACCATCAGTAAATAGAGCACAGTCTACTGGAGAACAGTTGTATGATGTGAGTTTGCACCAAAGTCCACACTGGTCTACACTGCTATGTGTGCAGAGTCAGAAACCATGAAGTTGTTTCAGCCAGGAATCATTTTTGCATCGTCTCTCCCCTTGTTTTCTGTTTGCCTCTATGATCTCCACTGTCCAAAAAATGTCCCTAAAAATAATCTAATACATTTTTAAATCTTAGGTTAAGTATTAGTAAATATGTACTAATGTTATGTTTGTTTGCTCATTCAGGCTGATCAATCATTGTGTGACTTGATTGAAAGGTAGAGAGTTTGTGATAAAAAGTTACATTATGTAAATAAAATAGTCAGTGGGAGAAATGGTGTGAAATAAAAATGACTTTTTTCACTCTTTTAATAGCACAAATACTATGGCTATAGAAAATTCTTTGTGATGTTGTATTGTGTATTATCACTTACATTATTTTTTTCTCCATGGGATTTTCTCATTATCTACACTTCTCAAATGTGACCATAAAATTGTGAATTGTGCCTAATATTCTGACAGGTTATAGGTATGGAACTCACGGTCATTGTCGTGAATGATCTGGAAATTTTTGACAGAGGCCTGAGTGACTCTGCCGTGGAAGTTAAGCACATAGGATTGTGTGTCATCATTCCACACAGGTGTCTTGTTGTGAAGTTCAATCACGCTCTCTGTGTTCTTGTTCTGCCACCTGGCCAGTAGTGACTCATGGTCCTGTTATGAAGAAGAATAGAATAGATTTGGACAACAGCATCCTAGACAGCAGATAAACTATGTAAGTATTAAAAGAGGTGGAAATGGTCAGCACAGCTGTGACTGTTGAGGATAAGGTAACACATACATTTTGTGGGCGAATGGACACTCTCTCATGGTCCATGTTCATTCCAGGAATGATGACACTCATTTTGCGAGGTCCTTTGAATCCTAAGACATTGGTTTCCTGCATTGACAAGACAGATAAACTGTAGTGTAAACATATTCACCCAAAAAAACTTGAAAAACCTTAAAACACATGGTGGTATATTATTATATTGTGTCACAGTTCTGAAGCTGCCTTACATGAAATACTTATAAAAGCCAGTTTGTACAAATAATGTTCTTTGTTGAATTCATAGACAAATTTTAAGTAAGCAAATATTATGTTATTGTGGACAACTAAAAGTCACCTTAGACATTAATGTAATTCTCCTTTTTTTAGGTATTTCATTGGATTTATAATGTACATGCATCAATGATACCTTGATTTCAGCCTGATGATGGCAATGCCCTGACTCCTCACTGTCTTTATTTACAGTAACTATCTGAGTTAGAATCTCTAAATGAACTTGTATTTCAAAGGCCAGCAGACACATTCAACTGCATGTTGTATTTTCAAAGCAATTAAAATGACAAGACATGAAATACAGTAGGTTTTTGTTTTCTTTAGACCTCTGTTATTAAATTATTCCAGGTTAAGTGGTTTAGCAGAAAAATGGCATTATTTCAAACCATCTAAGCAATAATAAGAATATTACTTTAAGTACCATATATTTTTATATGTAATCAAAATGAATTACTATGTCATTCTATACCAAATCACTGGTCTTTAACGGTATGAAAAACTAAGTAGAGCTTTTGGATAAGAGGCACTTTGATGAACTCACATAGCAAATGGCTGCCAGTTCTTGACGTAGATTGCTGGCTTCAAGGCTGGTGGTGCTCTTCACAGGATTCAGACCACTGTCATATACAGTGAACTTAGTTCCCATGAGGTTAGACCTGCAAAAAGCACAACACACTAAAGAGGTCTGATTGTTTGTGTGTGTGTTGGCATGGCTGAAAGAAACAACACACGGGGAGCTTTTTACAAAGGCATTTATCGAGACTTTATAATGTGATGTAATGGGTGCTGTAATAACAAGCTCCAAGTACAAATACATGAAAATGCACCTATGATGTGGTGTGTCAGACTTGTACACTGCAACGTAGCTCAGCTATTCTGTGTACTGTACAAATACTGCATTAATAGTAGTGCTATTATAATGATAAATTGTGATTCCTAATTAATTAAATATGGCAATTGTATTGCTTTATGCTCTATTTTGCTCTATTTTTACACCTGTTAACATGTAAATAATTTCAGAATATATGTAGTTTTATTTCCCATGCAGTGTACAGATGTTCTCTACAAAGCTTTACTTTTCCCTCTCAGTATTTACTGCTCTCATTTATAGTTAATATCAATAGCAAGTTAATAGAAGGTCCTCACACAAGTGAATTATTCTCAAAATGTCTTGTAAAAAACAGTAACATGATTTACAGATACTGAGTTATCCATGCACTAAAAAGCAGAATTACCACTGATATAGATTTATCCCACATACAGTATCAACACCTGATTATTCAGGTTTTCTTGACCAACTTTCATCTTAATTTGCTTTGTTTACACTTCCACACCAGCTTTCATCCTCTAACATTCAAATACATAGTAATAAAAACACGACAGTGCAATCTCCTAGAGGTTGACTGTTGGTGTATATATACATATGCATCATAGGCAGGTGGAAAGATTTTGAATTGATTTTCAAAGCCACAGCTTTAAACAGACATCTGTATTCCTCTTTTAGCCTTATTCAGACCAGGCTCCTCTGGGACTCTCGAGAAGCACCAGATGAAGGTCACCGTTCATTTAAATTTGGATCTCCACCATTCAGGTGGGACTGTGAATGCAAAGGTTTGAGCAGTGCATCGACCAATAGTTGAGCCAACTCTGAAGATTAAAGACCACACAAAGCCATATTTGATTAAACTCCCGAGGAGTTTCTATGGCGCCACTATCACAGCCTTGAAGCTGTCGCTAAAGATTATGTAATGACTTGCTTCCTACCAATCTTACTATAGCTTAAAAAAGTACAGCCAATGTACATTTATGATAAAGATATCAAAATACAAGGCATTTTAACAATGAGTGTAAATTACACAAGGTAAAATAATATAATTTTTTTTCTTCATTACCAAAGCTGAAATAGTACACTACATTAATTTCTTCTACTGAATGAGTGTATATATGAATGTTAATATAAAGGTGCTGTTAAAGTACTACTTGTTAATTATTCAAACATTCATAGTTGGATCCTGATTTGTTAATTACTCATTCCTCAGTATAGTATGCACAATTTTGTGAACACAAGTGTTACTCATACAGTTCATAATTTACAATTTTATAAATAAAGGAATGCAGCTAGAGTTCAACTCTATTTTTAGTTATTTACATAAAAAATATGTAAGCGTTTCAAAATGTTTCATGTAGCAAAGCCGCTGGAGACTTACCTCAGTTTACCAATGAAGCTCTCGCCACCGCGAGACAAATCAGTGGGATCAATGGAGATAAGGTAGTTTGAAGTTTTACTCTTTTTTCTCTTCCTGCCAGCTAACAGGAACACCTGTGGGAAACCAAGTCACAAACAAAGTAATAAAGTATGAGTGTGCTTAAATATGTTTGACTTATTTTGGTGCGCACAGTTTGAAACTACAAAATTGCCTCCTTTGAATATTTTATATTATGTTTGTTGTTTACAGTAAAAATGTTTCTGCTTCCTGATCCATCTCACCTTCTTGCCATCCTCCCTCTCCAGGTGAAGGTAGTAGGTGGGATACATGCCTCTATCCATGCCCTTCTTGTCTCTGGTGATTCTGCACTTCACTCTGACTCCCTGAGGTGCCGGCCGCAGAGAAAACTCTTCAAGGTCATCTACGTCAATGGCGGGCTCACTGATCGGTGGAGTGGGTGCTGAGGCCACCTCCTGTAGACAGAAAAGCCCACACAGGGGTAAGACCTCTTGTAAGATGGTGGATTGGTGAGTGACGCATTAGGCTTGACCTTCATTAGAACAGAGTAATTAGTCTGAACATCAAATCACCCACTGCGACTGAGAATGAGCACACTGTGTCACACAGTGTCTAAAAAAAGGACGTGGTGTCAAGACAGGAGATTGAGTTCATTGAAAGGAAAGATTAGAGTGGAATGAGGAGCAAAGAGAAATGATGGTTATCATAAATACAACACCAGTTGGTGATTAAATTCTGAACTGAGGAAAGAAGCTGAATTTTTTATGAGGGTTACATATTTATCTGACCCGAATCATCCATTATTACACCTGAAATGGAGAAAAACTAAACCTACCTCAAAACATTAGACAAAGCTGACGTCAACAGTTGGGAACACATATTTTCAAAATACTTTACAGTACATTTGATTACATACATTGGACATTGCTTACAGTGGTCCACCTGAGCCATTATGCAAGGCTCTTTGTGCACATCTTCTAACCAAATATTTTAATTCTTTCAAACCCAGGGCTCAACTAATGAATATGAGATTATTGTTCCACCACCTACTTACAGCTTCAGCTGCACCGGCACGGCACATACCTAATAAAAAAACTGAAATCATGTCTGTGTAGTAAATGACAGGCCACAAATTCCAAAAGCCCAAAATAATTGTAATAGTTTGTAGAAGAAAAAGAAAAGCCAAAAGGCAATTGCAGTATACTTGTAATACATTATAGTATAATGGTTACTGTATATTTCAGCCATGAAACTGTTTTAAATTGAGTCCAACTGAGAGAGAAACTCTACATTTTTATTTCTTATTGTATTTGTTTATATATTAGGTTTGTTTGTTTTTTCGTGGTAAATCTCGCTGGTTGCTGGGCGAGATGAAGACACATCATGCAGAGTATAAATGTATGCCATAAACCTCACTTTACCTTGCATGACTTCTTGCTAGTGGCGGAGCCTGGTCTCGTGTTGGTGTTGAGCTGTGAGGAACTGGAGCTAATTTCATCTTCATCATCCTCTTCTTCATCAAAATTCATACTGCTGGATATACCTTAAAAGGACAAACAACAAAAAAGGAAAGTAAACAGATTGTTCCTTGTTTATTTATTATTCCTTATCCATCCATCTTTCTTGAACATTGACAGTACCTTTCTTGAGCATAGTGATGCGCAGATCCTGTTTACTCTGTGATTGAGTGCAGCTCATGACAGGCTCTGCCTCACCCTCCTCTGTGGTGTGATGACCCACTGTCAGGATATGGATCTGACCATCATCCTGCTGGGAAGCCAGGCCATCGACCGCTGCACAATCACACAAGGACAGGCTCAGAATACAACTGCACTACTGTTCAAGTATCTCATGTTAATGTACAGTAAAAGCCCAGTGAATCCCAACAAAATAAATCTTAAAGTGTAACACAATTGATAGCTTGTCTGATCAGCTGGTTTCTCATGTGGACCTCCTTCTTCCTTTATCCTCAAAGATATGCATATTAAAATCCTGTCTTATGGAACAGCATGTAGCATTAATTCACACACTTTTTATACCAAAGTGGGGGGGGGGGACCCAGGTGCATTCTTATTCACTGACATATTTTTGATAGATTAGTCTCTACTACTAATCTCTAGGTGTATAAACAACTCATTTCTTATCCTGTGACTTAACAGACCTATACATATAAAACCTATAATCTATTCTATGACTTTGGTGTTGCTGCTGTGTTTAGTGAATGCATAATAGCAGGGTAAAATAGCCTCCCTGAAGCTGTGTGCTTATGCTAATGGATTCAAAGTGTGAGATAGAGGGAGTGAGACAGGGCCATCATTGGTGAGTTTGACACTACTAGCCTGATTAATCTCTTACCCCAGCGGAATCCAATTAACTTTTCTTTTTTTTGAACAAATTCATTCCAAAGATGAGCACTGTATTGTAATTTGTTCCATCAGATGACAAACATCTTGGATGTCAGCAAAAGAAACAAAGAGTTCCATACACCAGTGGGACACATTATTTCAACACGCTTCTTCCTCTTCCATTTAAAGACTAATTTATGTCTTTGCTTGTGGTGTGTCAGCAAGCTGTTGGCGCTCAGACTGCCATGCAACATTATAGACAGCCAAGCATCGACAAGCATGGCACCACAGCGGTGGCTAAGAGGGCGGCTTTACCGGCTGTGTCTGTTGCCAGATGTAGCTTTAAAAATCTGCAGGGGCACCATTATCTGTGGATTGCAGAGGGGGCTTGAATGGACAGTTGCAGCGACTGGGTAATAAGGATTTTGTCTTGTCCCTTTCATACTGTGGACAGCCTCTAATGACTTAACCCTGTTTATTTGGTATTTAAACATGAATACATAAAAACCAAGAACAATATGTTTAAAAGCAATATTTGAGTTTTGCAAGTGAGACATACAAAAATGCTTTGGGTGTGTTTATACTTCCTTGTCTGACCTTATTCTTTCTAATTCAGTCTGTCTGATTCTGACAGCGTGCCTGTTCACTCACCTCACTTCAATTTATTTTTCGCTGTGTCTGTCTACCCGTTTGTCTTTATATTGGCAGGCTGACCTTTGTGCTTCCCCTTCCTCTCCTTCTTGTCACTGCCTGTCTGTGGAGTGGAGCTGGCCGATGCTTTGCCCTTTTTAGCTGAGCGAGGTGGCTGTGTGTCCCCAATCACCTTCGCCTCCTCTTGTTCAGCTTCCTGCACTAAATGCAGAGATGGAGATGACCAGCAGCACATGCAGGGTTTTTAGTGAGGATGGTCAGAAATGGGGAGAAATGGAAAAGAGGGTTGAGTACGGTTAAACTGACAAAAAAGAGAGATACAGTAATGTTTAGCAGATAATACAGATAAATGTTATACAATACAACAGCTTGTATAGAGCAGCTTTTTTTTTCTTCTGCTGGGACATATAAATTCTAAAGTTGTATTGATTCTCTAGCATAGAGATAATAATATTAAAGGCTCAGCTAAAAACCTATCAAAGGTTATTATTCCCCTTCTTTTGGTTAAAATATTGACCTAGCACAGAGTAACATTTTGTCAATATGTTTTCTCCTCTCTCTGCTGGAAACATGACAGTTCATGGCCTTAAGCCCAGAAACTCGGCCTCAAAACTCGAGATTAGAGGCTCTGCTTTGGTCTCTGTGTTTAGATAAGAAAACCTCATCAATCCCTGTCCTAACAGCATTTCTGCTCTCAAGTGTACAGATTTGTATTGCAATGTAAATGCCTGCAACAGATGGTATAGTTTGCTGTACTGGTTATACATGGGCAACAATAATAATAATAATAATAAAAAAATTGCAACAGTTTTGTAATTGTTTTTTTATTCAGCCATTTTCATTTTTGTATGTCTGGCAATGGTGATATTTGCAGTATGTAGCTCTAATTGGGAAAATTAACTGAAAAGGAATAAAATCTCTTTCATAAATGATCCCTGTAAATAAGGCAAGCTGATCCAACAAGCAGTAGTCTTTATTTGTTCAACCCATGTTCTTCCTTAATCCTCTGTTTCAGCCTTCTGAATCAGCACAGCCACAGAGGAGTGTCAGTGTTACTAACCCTGGTAGATGGTGCTGCTGTTGCTGCTGAGGTAGGATTCCACAAGCGGAGCTTGTTCCTCACTTTGTTTGGTCCGACGAGTGCGAGATCTCCCGTCCACATTAGACTGGACCATCAAGGGCTCCTGCCTCTTCTTCTTTTGCTTCTGTTCAAGGAGCACTCGCTGTTGTGGGGGTGTCATTTAGGAGTATTTGTACATGCACACAAGCATGCCCAGATGGAAAGAAAGAAAGATAAAGCACAGTTTCAGCAAATAAACTGTACATTAGGTAACTAAGGATAATTTTCTAACCACGTTTACAAAATTGCCTCTCTATCTCTGTGGCTACATCAGCCAGTGACTGCATATATTTGAAAAGTTTTGTACATAGAATACCCAATATGATAATCCAAAATTGCTTCACTGAGTAATAATTTAACTCACCTCATTCACTATATGTACAAAAGCAAGCATTATCTTCAAGTGGCAAAGCTTTAAAGCTTTAGTCTCCTCTTCTCATGAAAAATATAACACAGATTACTAAATAGTTTTCAATTTGGAATCATCCCTTACGAGGCTTTACATATTTTCTTCTCAGCGATCTTCACACTGTAGGCAGAGAGCTGGGTTTAAAAGCAAGTGAGAATAACAGTCTCAGGTAATTCTGTTAAGCCAGGAGAACAGTCTGAAGATGTGTAAGGATGTGCTGCCAAAATCACTCTGACCTGAGGCTGGATATAGCTATTTATCTAGACAAAGTGTCAGCTATATGCAAGTCTTCAAACCAAAGCTCATCAAATATTGAGGGGTTCTATTAGTGGAGACTTTAAACTGCAGAACACTGGAGCTCTACAGTTTAAAGCTCACATCTTTGCTAAGACAATGATAGCACAGAACATGGATTTGATATGGTGGCTTTGACCTGTTGAGTGACACATTCAACTTTGAAATGCACAGCTGCAGACAAATGTCATTCCCACTGGTGACTGATAATGAATGAAAAAGAATATGTTTTGTTTTTGTATCACACTGTACTTTAAAGCCAGTATGACTCTCCAGAACTTTATAAGCAATATATTTTTAGGTCTCAGTAAGTCAACAATCCAAACATGAACTGAGGTTATTGTGATAAATGATGCTATCAACCAATAATACTTAGTTTTATGATGTTTACAGTTCATGCCTAAAGGTTTATGCGAGTGGATTATTCTTCATCCATTTAAGCATGGATGAAAGGCAGGTGAGACAGGGAAGGTCTTCCTTTGATTAATGAGGTAAACGAGTGTAGGAGCATTTGATCCAGCTCTGACTACATGCACAGATGTTCTGGGTGTTTAAGTCCACTCATATTGTGCTGTTCAGAAAAATACAGTAGCTGGATATCAGTACCAGTAGTTCTAATTCTGCATAGAAAAGAACTGAAAATGATTGAACTGCGGCCTAAAGTTTGCTTTGTCTGGTTACAGTGTTGCTGACAATAAACACTGACATCAACGACCACAGCAGTATCACTTAGCAGAGCGAGAACCTGCCTGCCAAACCTCAGTTTGGATCCTGTTCTATGTAATTCTAACACAATCGTGATTTTCCATGAGTAGATAAAAAAAGCACTGTCCTCTCTTCACAACACTGCACAGAGAGATAAGTCCTAGCTGTCAATCTGTGGCCCCATGATGGATAATTGATTTTGCATGTGTGCTACTCTATTATCAGATGTGCAGGAGATAGAATAAAGATGTACCTGTCTGTCCAGCTTCTGTTGTCGAAGGTTGGTGCCCTCATCATCTAAAGTGCTGCAAAGAAAGAGGGAGAGCTATGTTAAAATGCTGAAAAGCGCTCCTCAGCTGTGTATAATTTAATAATGACATTTAATTCACTTGCTACTCTGAAAACACACCAAAAGGTTACACTATTTGTCTGTATTTTAGATTTATTGCCTAAATATATGGTAATAAAGCTTGTTTCGGACTTCAGGAAACAGTTCATTTGTTTCTGCTGCAAGACATTGTGTTTTTAGACTGAATCCTAACCACTGCACACAAAAAAACTAAAAGAAAACAAACATGAGGGCATTTTTCTTAAAAAAAAACACACAAAAAAAAACTAAAAGCAAAAGCAAAATCTGATTATTCAAAGAAAACAATAATTATTCTTGTTTATGAGGCAGCATTTTACAGCTTTGTGTCTTGTCATGGACACAATTTAATGCAACAAAGTATGACTACAGAACAGCTACTGTAAAAGTATTAGTAGTATTAGTATTTCATTTTAGAGTATATATACACTAATTAGTATGCGATAAGGTACATATTTTTTATACTGACAGCTGCTTGTGCACTTAATGAATATATATGGTCAGCCATCTGTGTTATTCACTAACTTAATTTATGATCATGTTCAGAATTTGGGGGTAAAAATGACTCAGTATTCAGCAGTATCACTTAGCAGAGCGAGAACCTGCCTGCCAAACCTCAGTTTCATTTCAACCTCATTTCAACAAGGCTCCAGAAGTACAGCATTACTACTGAGTGAATATTTATATGCAATAAATTTACAATATATACTTTTGTCATCAAAATTTAGGAATGGAGTACATAATTAGCCATTTGCTTCTTTATCCAGGTATTCTCTGTTTTTATTATTATTATTATTTACTTACACCCTCCTATTACCTCTGCCATGGTGGAGGCAATGTTTTTACTCTGTTGGTTTGTTCACTCATAACTGAAAAGTAAATGGACTTACATAGTGCTTTTCTATGTACTAGTCAAAGTGCTTTAACACTATTTGCCTGTTTGTTCACACACACCAGTGACATCACTGAGAGCAACTTGGGGTTCAGTGTCTTCACTTTGATAGCTGGACTGAAGATGCTCGGGATCGAACCGTTGATCTTACTGAACAACCTGCACTACTTGCTGAACCACAGCTGCTCCCATGTGGTGAGCAGATTTGGATGACATTTTAAGAGACATCATCCAGGTGTTTTTTTTCTTAAGGATTCTTCATTAATGCTGCACCAGAAACATAAAATCCAACCTGCAGTTCTCCTCTTTGCCACCAGATGTGGATGCACCAGCAGTATAGTAGGACTGTGAAATGTCCGACCATATTCCTTTTCGTACTGGTACTGCACCAGATAAATAATTACCTCCATTAAGAAGCTCATGATTTTACCGGTGTTTGTTGGTTTGTTCACAGCAAAACTCACAAAGTTCTAAATGAATTTTAATCTTTTTTTTTGCCATGGAACAATCAACATCTTCAAAAGTTACTGAGCTAGATCCCGAAGAAAACCACCATGAGTGAAGCGTAAATTTTCTCGAATAGCTAAAAATGATATCAATGTGATTTCAAATGCTACAGGTACATTTTTATGGTCAGTGAATTATATTTTGAGGGTCAAACTGTAATGGGAATATTGCTTTTAGGTGTAATGGCATTACAGGGAATTTGAGTTGCCTTGTGCTCTGTGAGCTATAGTTTGCCTGTTTTTGATTTTTTTTTTTTGATAAATGTTTTATTTGATTGTAAAAATCAATCAAACAATCTCATAATTTCATCTCCCTGTAAAGCATTTTGGTCAGTGTTTGTTGTTTTGAAATGTACTTTATAAATAAACCAACTTGGCTTAACTTGACCTCTGCTAACCATCAGCTACACAAAGGGACTTCATTATTAGCTACAGTAGTAACCACACTTGCTTTGAATGTGATCACACCATTTAATGGTGGTTGTCAGGTGCTCACAAGATGAGCTGAGCAGAATGTTCTAACACAACTGGGTAATATCTTTCTCTACAAGAACACCAGTATTGATTTGGTGGTGCTACACTGACATGATGCCACTGGCCTAGACAGATGTCTAAAGGCCAGCATGGCACAAGCAATGTTCAAAAAAACAAAGTCTAAATATAATTAGCCAGTTGCACACTGTTTCTCTCTCAAACATAAAGGTGCTTGAAAGACTGTTAAAGAGTACTGTATATACAGGTGCACAGATGTTTTTCATTGTTGCCTTCTTTATCTGATAATCTAAAAACAAGCAATGGTTAACACGAAGAAACAAACATTATAGCAAATGATTGCACAGAAGTAGAACCAAAACCCAAGCTCCAGTATAAACAGGCAACCCAGTCTCACAGCAAAATGTACAGTAGCTACATCGGTCTGCAATGCAAAATGTACTACTCTTACAATTACACTTCCAAAATTGTGACATGGCAATGTCTTTTTGTCATTGAAAAGTAAAGAAAATAGTTACTTTTAGACACAGAAGCTACATGGTTAAAGTTAGGTTTTGGTAAAAACACTCAAATGAAAAGTACAGTGTTAGACACAGGACATCATATCTGGTTGTCTGTGTGAAGGTCATGCGTTTGTTAGACCCATTCATCGGTCCCAACCACCACCTTCCCCTTCCCAGTGTTTTTATATTGTTAAAACAGAAGATGTAATCACATCATGCTGTGCATGGCGTGAACACTGGCCACATATTGTACCATATGAAAACAGGGAAACAGATTTCTTCATTCTCAGTGAGGCAGTGATTATTTTCACAAATTAACCAATTAACTTATTGCATAAAAAAAGGAAACCCCCATTTACCAGAAACCCAAATTTATAATGAGATAAAATAGGTGAAAGGATAAACTTACATTTGAGAAGAAAACTTTTACTATATTTTTTACTATAAAATTGCACTGAATTGAAAAGATTAATCAAATGTCTTAATCAACGGTTATTAATATAATTTAAGTGAATAATGCAGTTATTTGCCATTTCCCTTTTACTTATGTTTCCTGAACAGCTATATTGTTTTTCAACACAGTTTAATTAAAAAAATAGAATTTTATAGGGATGTGAAATTATACTAACAATGCTTTTAGTTAAAAATTATATTACAAAATGATCATAGCTATTAACTGACTTAAATTTCCCTGAGTGAACAGCTTTTAATGTGTGTTGGTGTAGGGATTTGTTCATCCTCTGTCTCTTTACATGTGCACAGAGGAATAAGTGAAACTCATCTTGTGTAAACAACTACAGATCAGGAACAGCAGAATGACAGCAAATGCAATTATGAATGTACTGGAGCTATGACAATGTGTCTTCCACAAACAAAGTTATCACTGAAAGATGCCAATCTTTCCAAATTAATTTCTAATTTCTAAATTGTTACATGTCTTCTCCATGCTGGCAACAGAAAACTCCAATTCCATTCAGACATTTTCTTGTATCTGTGCTGCCATACATTGTTTTTGCTATTCTTTTCCTCTATGTCAAATCCAAGTTTTGAATTCCAAGTTTTTAACACTACACAAATTTCATGTACTAAAAGCATCTATGCACTGGTGAATCTGTCCCTGCTGCCGTGGAGGATCAAACTTTAGCAGACTAATGTGTGACCTTTTGCTCTTCTCTCTAATAGTCTGTATAAAACTCATTTAATAAAGGTGAATAGATTAATCACTCATTAACACAACAAAAGGATTTATCCAGCACCAGTAATTTGATGGTTGCTTTCCCACTTTGCATCCATCCTCCCATTTTGCCACCAGAGCTTTTTAATGGCTGGGAACAGACTTGCTGATTGTTCTTTCAGTTTGTGTAGATGAATTTTTCAGAAACCACTGAGAAACCTCAATGGTTCCTGATAACAGGGCAATGAGAGGTTTCTTGCAGAAGAGCTTGGGAGAAGGAGCTACAGCAGAAGACAAAAGGTTGAAAGATCAGGGCAAGAGGTGTCTGTTAATGCACAATAATGGGAACATGATGTTTAGCTATAACTCTTAACTATGACTGAGACTGCTTAGCTCCATAAGTGTAGCAAAGTTTGTTTTTTACATACACTTACAGATTGTGACAAAGTTTCTCTGTACACTGCTTATTCCATTTCAGTATGCTGCCTTTTAAGGGATATTGTTTTACTATGTGCATCATACAGGCACCTAATTCTTTTGTGTATTCTCCATAAGTTTCTTATTTTACATTACATTACCTTTGGAGTACAGTATGTGTATAATTAAAAGCCATACTCTCAACAATTAAAAACTATTCATGGATACCTTAAGATGTATAAATAATCTGACATCCAAATAACAAATGTTTGTATTTAGAATTACTGTGGTTGATTACACAATGCTGTCTAGTAAGAAGCAACTTTATTTTATTGTAACACATACAACAAAATTTCACTTGGAGCTGAGAATCTCCGGGCTGCTGCGTGCCGCCATCATGGGCAACTTGGGGGTTCAGCGTCTTGCCCAAAGGACACTTCAACACATGGACTGCAAGCACCGAGATTCAAACCCTCAACCATCTGGTTGGGAGACAACTGCTCTACCCAACGCACCACTGTTCCAACATATTCAAAAGCAGAATGCATTTCCTGTATATGTTCCAGTTTATAACTTTTAAGTTGTTTTTTTCAATCTATCAGCTTACTTAACAGTGACTGTGTAACAGCATTGTGTCTTATTGGTGGATAATAAATAACAGGTGGTTTGTCCTCATGGTTGATGATCACTTTTACACTCTTCATGACGCTGTCAAAAGCCTGGACATGGCTGCGGGCAGCCAGTCCTGTAGCTACAACATGTAAGATCAGTCAGTGAATCGTCAGTCTACCTGTACCTCTGCACTACCAATTCTAGTATGACAACAAAGGCCTACACACATGCAATAAAAAAGTATTTACCTCCCACCTTCTTTCAGGCACACAGAAAAACAGAGCATTCCACGTCCACAATCAGAGTAATCAAATGTGTGAACAGGCATCAAACAGGAAGATAATGACACAAACAGAGCTGTTCCCACGAAGGTCAAACAGCTCATCATTATGGATTGTTACTATTATTATCGTTATTTAATACTGTGGGCTCTGATCACTCTTGTCCTGCAATGCAGCGATGATGAAGTTTACAAAAAAAGCTTTATAGTCTTTGGAAGGAACATATTTATTTATAGGGGGCAGCACGGTGGCACAGTGGTTAGCACCATTGCCTCACAGCAAGAAGGTTCTGGGTTCGGGCCCCACCCGGGACCTTTCTGTGTGGAGTTTGCATGTTCTCCCCGTGCTTGTATGGGTTCTCTCCGCTTCCTCCCACAGTCCAAAGACATGCTTGATTGCTGTCTGTGTGTGTGGTTGTTCGTCTATGTTTTTGATATCTTCTAATAAACACACAAAAAAAACCTTAATCTTGATCTCTTCTTATAAAAATAGCATTAAAACTCTGTCTGTTGTGTCATTGAAAACAACATTTGATGGGGAACAGATTTTGTGTTTTCAGTTGCTGAGACTCCTTCACATTTTAAAAATGCATCACAGAGTTTTCTTAGGTATGTGTGACGGTCAGTGGTTGATGATTTTGCAGTAGCACCTGGCTACACTGTAGGGCAATCCAAATTGCACATGGAAGCATATTTGATTTTCATTTGCATGGCACAGTGCATGAAATTTTATTGTGAGAAAATCAATCTGATGAAGCTCGGCTGACCTTGTAAGTGAAGTCAATATTACTATGACACATTGCATCATTATAAGAAAAGGAGAGCGAATCACAGAATTAAATGCCCTATTTATTACTCTAACTGATGTCGATAATATTTTCTAAAAAGGTACAGTGAAATGTAAATACCTGTTTGAAAATATACCAATTCAACATTTTTTTAAGAGTATATCATTTCTGTTCTTTCTGTGGAGTTCCCATGCCAGAGAAAAAAGAACAAACTTCTACCACTGAAACGCAAACATGCTAAATTTGCTCGTGCAATCAGGAGCTACTAAACAACTGCTGTTTCTTTGTGGATGTGTGTGTTGGTGAGATGTTTCCCTCATTGTGTTCATTTCTCTGAATGTATGCACTGGATATCTCTAATGAGATGAGAGAGCTACACAGAGCACCTGTCTCCCTGAACTCTGCATAGAGGCCCATGCATTTTTCATGACAGCTTCATGGGGTTGCTCATGGTAGAGTATACACATCCAAACACATTCACAGATGTGATGGCCAGAGGCAAAAGGGTCTCAACAACAGAGAATGCCTGCACACTAAATGAATGCTTCCCAAAAAAGGTGATTTACTGAATGCAAATACGACTCTCATCACCACAGGTATGAGTGCCAGGTTGAGCCAATTAATTCCATCACAACTGGCTACACATCAAATTATTTACAACATAAAACTCAAAGTCATCAACTCTGTGTACTACTGGGGTGCAATCAAAATCCCTAAACCAATATCCATTTAAATATAGCAATAACTAAAATGATTATAGTAGATGCTGTTGCATTTTTATACACCAGTGGGAGTAAATCTATTGGTACAGTCAAAAAGACGGAAACCCCGACTGTTCAATACACAGGTTACTGAAAGAGCAACTTCATGGGATGAGAAAAACTGCTCACTGAGAAACCAGCAGTCTCTCCATCCCCACCTTCTCACTGACACTCAAATTATATGCTTCACGGGATGATTTTGGATACTGATAGTGGTTAATGTCTTGTTTAGAAAAATTCTACAACAAAAAGTGGAGGGGCCAGAAAGTATTATACGTGTTTCTACTGCTGCACCAGCCACAAAATATCTTTTTCTTTAAGTCAATTCATAATAAAGTGAGTTTACATAATTCCATAAGATCAGTGTCTTGGTGTTTTTAAAAAGTTTAAGATAAGTTCCACACAAATCCCTGATGCAGTACATCCATCCATTATCTATACCGCTTAGTCCCGAACGGGGTCGCGGGCTGATGCAGTCCCAGTCTGAAATTTGTGGACTGCCACTGTGACTTACAGCAACCACGAGTCAGTGGTATCAAAGTAGGCAGAGACCCCATGGTTATTCAATCAGAGGAAAGAGTCAAGAGTGTTAGTTCAGCAGTTGAAACGATGAGGACGTACTATAGGTGGTATAACAAGAGTTTCAATGTTCAGTAAAGCACCAGTTTTCATGTTATTTACACAATACTTTTGTCAGTTTCTACAAATGACAATTATATCTCCAGCATGACGCCATAAAGATCATTTTTGGTACACATGTATGCTGACATGCACATAAAACACACAAAGGCAAGGACATCCTCAGTTACTTTGAAGACCAACAAATGAAAATATGCACTGACATAAACGTGTGCTTACATTCTACTTTTCATAATCTTACAGATACTTTTGAAGCCAGTTAAACAGCAATAAATCCAATGATGGATGGTTTCACACTTCAACAATATAATAATGTAAGGACAGAACATATTTTCTACGTGTGAACCAGTTTGACATTCTAATATTTATTCAGATGAAAAATCTTCTTGTGGTTTTCCTTAAAAGGTAAAAACAGTGTAAAACACAAAAATATATAAGCTTCATGTTTAAAATAACAAGTTCATAGTAGCAAAAACAAGAACGCTATGCCCCCCCAAAAATCAATTTTGCAACATTGCACATTGTTTGTTTTAACAACTCAGTGTTACCATTATCAATCTTGTTTCCTTGTCAGATGCTCACTCAACTGAAGACCTGCACACATACACATACAGTAGATATGCACACACTGCTTCAAAACATATGCACACTCAGGAATGTGGTACAGTACCTGTAGGGAATCCAGTCGGAGGAGTGCTTGGAGCTCATTCTGTATCAATCACTCTGACTGCTGCCACCTAACTGCGAGGCTAACGGCCTACAACAGCACCAGTGCAAGTGGCCGCAGGGTCTAGGGACAGTGATCACAGCCAGTGAGCCCACATCGCCTGTTCATCCTCTGCACACAGCCCTTTATCCCCAGCCTGTCTGTATTTCTTGGTATGTCCTTTAGCTGTGGAACAGCAGGTGACTAACAATCCACACACACAGACGCGCTCTTTGGTCATGCACGCTGAGCACATGAAATAGCCGTTTTCTTCTCTTCCATGTGTACGCTTCCAGTCAATGCCTCTCCTCTTCTCTTTTCTCAGTGCCTCTGCTCTGCGCTGGCTCTTTCACTCTGCACTCTCTCTCTCTCTCTCTGTAGGCTCTCTCTAAATCTCCCTCAATTTCTTGCCCTTTAAATCCCCCCTCCCTTACTTCTTTTCTGTCCAAATCTCACTCTCTGCCTCTTTGCCCAATTTATCTCCTATGCAGCATCACCTACAGCAATGGTGAGTGCAAAGCCTTAAGCAAAAGAGAAGAAAAAAGGTTATTGTCTTGTCTCTTTGATGCTCCTTCTGTGCTATTTCTGTACAGTGCCATCCCTCTCTCTAATGTAACCATACACACAGTCTCTCTCTCTCTCTCTCTCTCTCTCTTTCTGACACTTTCTGTGTTTTTCTTGCACACTGTGCTGCACAAGGCTTGTAAAGCAGGGACTCAGATGTGTTTTGTGGACCATAATTTATTTATTCTCTCAGTGTAAGCGGCATTAGCATATGACTGCACAGACTAGTGTTAACAGCCTTTAATTCAGCACTCTTTACAGCCAGACAAAGGCACCCTGTGATAGTGCCACGGCTCTGAACCTCTCTCACACACATCTGCTTCCGCCCTCCGTCTGCCTCTCCTCACTGTCACCACACAAACACACATCACTCCCTGTGTTCCCAGGGTTATTCAGGAGACTATCTATAGACAGTTAAACCAAGCCACTTCCTTGTACAACTGCTGCTTTACAAGGAGTCAATTCAAGTCAGCTTAATCAACACACATATTTAAGTGTGGGATCCATGCATGTGCTGGTTTTAAACAGTGAAGTCACCTGAAACAATCCAGAGAATCATTCAGGGAAGAAAATCTATCACTCGTGGGTACAGGTGAAAGCGTTTTACCTTCTACTCACTCTCTATAAGACAGCTCTCAGGCAACATTTTGTATTTGCTGTATTTCATCATTCGGGTGTTGCGGCAGTTTGAGTTATATTCACATGGACTTTGAATATGCAATGCACCAAACCATTCCAAACAAATGTATGCAAATACAGACACTTGTGACTGCTGAGACATTTGTAATATACTGTAGCTACAAGGGTCAAGCTCATTCTGCCAAGGTTTAGAACTCGTATCATTTTTACGCACAATTATACACACTTTGGTACACGGTGAAGCTGTAACATAGCATTCACTACTGCACAAAATGTTAAGACAATTAAACAGTGGAGATCCTATTTAGGGCATCCAAGCATCTTCCCTCAATTATTGATTGCACAACGAACAGCAAGCATCACTGATACAAAGTTTAGTGATAGACTGCCAAAGTAAACCAGGAAGAAAATGAAACTTCTGCCAGAGCCAGTGGAGAAATAAAAACATTTCTGTTTCAGTTGTATACAGCAATTAAACATTGATTGCATTTTCTAATGGTCTGGCCTTTTGAAAATGTCAAGTCACAAAGGTGCATTGTTTTGACTCTAACACAAAGGAGGTGTTGCCAAAATAGACAGTAACATAAATCATGAAATTCCAAACAGATCACAGAGTTTAACCCATTATTTCACAGATGACCAGCAGTTTAGGGAGACACATGAATCACATTTTTAAGAAGACTGAGGATATAAAGAGCAATTATTTGATACATTTGGGTTTCATACTGGCAACTCATTTAATTTGTTAAAATAAGAGTCAGTATTACTGCATTAAATTACTCAAAAGCATGTTGACAACAGTTTGTGTTTTACTGAAGTGAGCAGAAAAGTCAGATGCGCCTCCTACACAGCTCTGCTACTGATTCTTCTGCAAATTACAGAAATGTAATAGCACCACATGCGAAAAATCCTACTGCTCCCCCATCGAACTCCAAAAGACTATAAAAAGACATAGTGTCGTTTTTGTAGCAAAACTTTTTTGAGTTTTGCAATTTATCCAGTAATGTAGTTATTATGATGAGCACGAGAGCTCCATCCCAATATTTAAGAAGCTTGACGACAAATTAGTAAAGGGCACCTCTTTGTTCAACAAGCACCAGCTCTGCCTTTGAGCAAGGCATTAACTCCCTACCTGCTCTGGCTGCTGTATGGAGTGAGAGACGTGCACTCCTGGCTATTATCAACAGAAGCTACTAAGACTTGGCAGTGAGATAAATATAGAGGACGGTCAATAAATGGAAGTGAAGTCACTCTGTTTTTAAAGATGTTTTCCCTGCGTATCAGCTGCTTTGGTGACAAGTGGAAGCAAAGCCACCCCGGTGCGGAGCAGGTGTAGGCACAGCACCCTGCTTAATATTTGATGCTGAAGGGGGACTTTGAAGTTTGGCTCTGGTCATGAGGCAGACAGACGTTGGAGGGAGGCTGACATTCATACAGTTTTGTGAAGATAAAAGTATATTCTCCCTCTTGCTGTGCTTCACAAACACAGTGCATTCAACCTCCTTGTTCCTTCTGGCTGTATTGCCATTACAGCATTAAACAGTCAGTGATAAGATCCTCTTTGCAAATTTAATTTTTCCAGTCCAGAGTTTATACAGAGTTTTCCCAGAGGCATTTTATTGTTGGTAACAGGAAGCCAGCAGTATCACTAATTATAATAATGGTCGTGGCACGGAAGACACACACACTGATGTGAAAATGGATCTCTGGCTTGTGTCTGCTTGTTCAAGTCAGACTGGCTGAAACACAAAGCCTTAATAATATAGCAGCCTGATCAGTCAGGCAGGACATTTTCCAACTGATGATTGTCATTTATGAGTCTATATGAGTGTGCTTTGATTACTTGTAACGTTTTATCATTCATAACAAACCAGAAACCCACGTTATCAGACAGATGTCACAGTTTCACAAACTTTGCCTTCAGATCTTGAAAAACAACCACACACACACTTTAGAGTTGCCGATCTACCTAAGTTGCATGTCTTCTGACTGTGGGAGGAAGCCGGAGTACCCAAAGAGAACCCACGCAGCCACAGGGAGAACATACAAACTCCACACAGAAACCGGAAGCTTCTTACTGTGGTGCCACAGCGCTAGCCACTGCACCGCTGTGCTGCCCAGCATTTCAAACATACAGAAGCAAATTGTTTTTTGTTCCAACACAAAGAGGAATTGCCTGTATTTTGGAACTACATACAGTAAGTGTGTTTCATTTTCTACCTTCCTGTCATTATCTGTGCTTCGGTAACTCCTCCACCCTTGAAAGGTTGGATGCAAAGTAACTATGTGTAATCATGTCCAAGGACAAAACCCCGCAGGGTGGAGCTTTCCCATGACTGAGGGATTGTTCCTCCTTCTCACATGAGTTGCAATTTCCAGCCACAGCGTCACTGACATCAGCTAGCTTCAACTTTTGAAGAGTTGAAGAAAGTAAATGATGGACACTTGCAAATGTTTTACCAAAGTTATGCTTATCATTGTTAACAGCTGATCGTGTCAGCCCTTAATATTAACAAGAGAACCAGTGGAATTTATTCCTGTCTTCCATTACTACACTTTACAGTAGCTTTTTCATTGACTGCTTAGTTTGATGTTTACCAGTGCTTCATAACCACATTATCACAAAGACCTGATAAAAACTAAAGCTACATTTCTCCACCTCATTTGGAAAAGCCTTAAAATGGGACTGTCTTGTTAGACTTACTGTATAGGATGTATTCAGCAGCCTCGAGATGCAATTAGGACACAGCGACACAAGAGTGAGTCACTGACTGGCTCTACATTACATCACATCACACGCAGGAGCGTGCCGCACCTCAGAGAGACTGGAGGCGAGCCAAGGGATCCTGTTAGCAATAAGTTGGTGTAAGCTAAAAGAACCATGTCTGTGTTGGAATTAAGAAGATGGATGGTGTTTAATAACCCTCCCCTGTTTAATTATGGATGTACAAAACTGCTGTGTATTAAAGGAATGAATGGGCAACAACTAGTATCAGATGGTGCAGCATGTTGTGGGTGAGTGCAACTTGATGGTGGAAACAAATAAAGGGTTTTGGAACATGCTATATATACAGCATGTAACTCTACAACCTCTAGTTGCTTTAAAACACTTCTTTTTCTAGCATCTGAGAGCAACTGCTGCATTTACACATGTTGGCACAATCAACTTAGAAAAACAGCCCTACACAAACCCATATTTACACGTGCATACACTGGAAAAGAAATTCTAATAAATATCAAAAGCATACGCTTGAAAAAGCAAACTATTACCCCCTCTTTCATTCTGGAAAATGATCTCAAATACAAATTAAACAGTAGATGGGAGCTGCAAATGCCTTTCAGGCCTTTTCAAAACTGTGATTACATTGCATATTCAAACTACTTCTCAGAATCTGCTTAAGAAATCCATACAGTCAATGAAGAAATCAGCCGGTTAGTGGAGTGCCAGGCTACTGCATTGCTATTTAAGTTTAAAACAAAAGAGGCTTGAAATCACCTGCAAAATACAATTTATGAAGAGCCGTTTACAAATCTAGGCTACTGAAAAAACCCCACTTTCAGCCAGAAACTGCTCCCTGAGGGCTTCTATAAAACCGTAGCAGTTCCAGCTACAACTCAGGGGATGATAATATCATTTTTATAGATATATCGATATTCAAAGGAATCTACTTAAGAGCAATTGTAGGTGGCTAAAACCAAAATGCCAGTCAGTGAAGGTTTCTGTGAGACATTTTGTTTAAACAGTGGCATCTTTATTTTAAGGGGAGTTGTAAATCTTAGAGGGAGAGAGAGAGAAACAGAGAGACTATGTGTGTTGTGAGTGAGTGCAAAGTAAATCTCACAGCTTCAGAGAGTAAGAGACTGTGTGTGAGGCTACGCATGAAAAGAATGAAAAGTGAATGAGCACATTGGCTTGTGTCCAGTATTGACTGAATCTAATGTGTGCTCTCTGTTGATTCCCTCTAACGTGGCCCACGTGGTCTTTGCTCATAACAAACTGTGGAGAATTGAAATGTATAATTTAGTTACATTTTCAAGGACTGTTTTTTTGTAATAGCATCAAACTAAAGACCACATGCACTGAGACTGTGTGTATGTTATTTTCTGTCTTCAAG